TATACATATATATATATATATATACATATATATATATATATATACATATATATATACATATACATATACATATATATATATATATACATACACATATACACATACATATATATATACATACATATACATACATAAAAAAAATTTTCCCGGGCATACCAAAATTTTTTGGAACATCACACAAATTTTCCAAACAACACACAATTGCTGAATTTTCAACTAAATTGACAGAATTTGTCCCATTTATTTTTATTACAAACCAAAATTGCCCGACTGTTGATTGAATATTGCCCGACTGCCCAAAAAACTGGAGGGGGGCTACCGCCCCGCCCCCCCCGCCCGGTACGCCTATGCATATACATATACATATACACATACATACATACAAAAGAAACTTAACTACAAACTACTACTAATTACTATAATGACTATTTACAAGAATATTTTAATGATTTCAAAATATCATATGGAACTAATCTGCGCCCCCAACAATAGCTCTAAACCTCTTTATGCCCATTGACTTACTCTTAAGATCATTTGTGAGATCATTCCAACATTTTGCACCAGAGTAACTAATGCTTTTTTTCAAGAAATTTGTATTTGGCTTATCTAACGTAAAGTTGTTTAAATTGCTTCTTAAAGAGTAATTTTGATTATCACAAATATTAAACAAATTTCCTATTGAATCAGGTGCGATCCCATTTTTGACCTTGTACATTAATAATGCTTTTTTGTTACGTCTGCGCTCTTCGAACGTTTCCCAGTTGAGTTGGCACAGTAACTCCTTTGAAGGAACATCGTAACTGCTCCCTGTTAAAATTCTAGCCGCTCTATTTTGCATTTTTTGTAGTTTCTGTATGTTATAGTTAGCAGCATTATCCCTTACCATGCTACAGTAATCGAAATATGGGAGTATTAAGCTGTTGTATATAGTTTGCAAGACAGATTGGGTTACAAGCGATTTGATCCTTCTCATTATTTTGATCCTTCTCATTATTTCGATCCTTCTCAAACTTCCTGTTCAGTTATTTCACAGAAAATAAATTCCTGCATTGATTCACTGATATAACTCTCTGGTGGAATAGAGCAACTTGAGATGTTTTGGGAAAGAATGAAACCAAGATCAGTGAAATGATTATTAAATGCCTGGAATATTAACCATTTCACCATTCTCGTTACGGATCTCAGTTATATTTTGAGATTTTTTTTATTTATGAATCAAGTTATTCTTAGTATTTCCTTGATTATCCCTAATCTCAACACTATAATGATGGCGAATGGACGACTTAATTAATTTGTTATAAGAATTTCTAGCTGATTTGAAGATTTGCCAATCATTTTCATTTTTAGATTTCAAGGCCTTTTTCTTTAATAAGTTCTTATTTCGCTTACTATGAAGTATTTGTTTTGTAATCCAAGGGGTACGCTTCTTACCAATTTTATGGGTTTTAAGTGGTGCATGTTTATCAATAATTTCAGTAAATTTATTTTTCCAAATATACCACATTCGGTTGGAATCCATGTATGAATCCAAATTATGATTTTCGGACGATGCTATATCGCGTAGGAAATTATCTTCATTGAAATTTTTGAAATCACGGAACTCCAAAATATGTTCCTCTCCTTTTAACGATGGGAATGACAAAATGCCATATATTAAATAATGGTCACTAATCGTTATTTTGGAGACTCCTGCTAAAATAATATTTTCCTCTTTATTGGTATAGAAATGGTCAATTAAAGATACCGAATTCTTAGTTTCCCTTGTAGGTTCATCTATCAATTGTTTGTATTGATGTAAATTAGTAATGAAATTGAGTTTTTTTTCATCATATGATCTAGATTTTTGTGTAATAGATCACAATTTATATCACCCAGGATAATGCTCTCTTTCTCTTCCGTATCAATAAGCCGTAGAATGTTTTCGAATTTTGTTAGCAAGTCAATGGGTGAATTAGGTGTTCTGTACCACGTTGAAACTAGAAAAGGTTTGGTTTTATATTTATGAATTTCTATCGTAAGAGCTTCAATATCATGATGACCCAAGTCAGGTCTTATGAAAAAGTTAATTGTATTTCGTATGTAGAAACCAACACCCCCACCAGATCTATTCCTATTCTTAAAAACCCAGGTATAGCCCTCCAGGGAAATTAAATCTAGGGGTACATCAGAATCCATTTTAGTTTCATTGATTGCTAAAATATCTAGTTGTTGTTTAGTCATGCATACTCGTAATTCGTCTATATGTTTTAAAAGGCTATTAATATTAAGATTAGCAATTTTGAAGCCACGCTCATTAGGAATTAGATTATCAAGCAAACCAAAATCCGACTATGAGTTCGGCTGTATATGAGGCGAGTTTAACGTATCTGAGTTTGGGGTAGGGTTCTCAATCAGTCAATTTGTCTCAGAGGTCCAGATACAGTGTTTAAAGTTTTGGGCAAGTACAGCAGTACCTCTCCTATTTAGGTGCAACCCTCCTTGATTTAAGTGACTCTTATTAATATTCGAGTGTTTAACAAATTCCCATGATTGTAGATAACATGTCGATTCGATTAATGAATTTACTTGTTGTACCTTCTGATCATTGTCTTCATGGTCGGATCTCATTATAATTTCTGATATACTGAGCTTGAGACCAGGGACTTGCTCAGTTGCAGCTTTCCCCAATTCTGAAATATTTTGAGCAATCCCTTCAGGCGATTTCCCAGAGAGGTCGTTAGTTCCCACATGAAGAATAAGATGGCTAGGCTTAGCTTTTAATGTAGGTTGTAGGTAGTACTTCATATCTTCTGTTTTAGCTCCCGCAAAAGTTCTGAATGTTACTCCACTCTTAAGTCCTTGTCGGAGCTTTGCCGGCTCTATGTGTTTGATCATGGAGTCTCCCACTATGACTACGTTGGGATGATTTCGGTGGTCAGTCTGTTGTTTCGTTTGATTATCGTGATGTTGAGTTGAATTTTTCCTGTCCATTTCTGTATTGTGTGATTTGTTTTGCTTACGATTGGGTGTCTGCATATGTATGTTCTACTTCGTTTCTTACAGCATCCCAGGCATTGCGATCGCTTACGTCGTTTTTGTCAACACTTAGGGCGGAAAACCTATTGCTTAAATTAATACTCGGATTAATCGCTTCGTTTGACACTTCGTTTGTCTGCTGTAAACAATTTGTCATTTGTGGGCACCTTTGTACCATTTCTTCATTACGATTTGCATTTATCACACTTTCTTTGTGATTCAAATCTTTGTAATTGAGGTCTTCGATGAGTAATCGCATAGCATCAATTAGGGAATCCTTTTCATCCTCAGCGATTTTGGCCTTACCCTGCAAATCTGCCAAGATATAGCTTAGATTATTCACTCTCTCGTTCAAGTTGTTCTTGCTTTTGAGGTCAATGTTTTCATTCATAAGCTTGTGATTTTCCATCTTTAGATTATCCATTTCTGTATTGTGTGCATTAGCAAACAATTTAATGGTAAACAATAAACAGTAAACAATTTAATGGCTGTCGCATTTGCATTGACGTCTTTGGATATGCTTCTAATTGACTGTAGAGAGTCTCTATGGAAAGAGTACTATTGTCTTTTTGGGAAGAGTGGGTTATGGTCTCATCAACATGGCCATTCTGGTCGAAATCTTCATTTACAGTGCTCGCCAACTGTACTTGTATAGCAGCTACAGAGGGCAACTTTTCTTTGATCTCGTCCTTAGCCTTTCCATTTAACATGATTGATTGGGTTTCCGGGTCCCATCTTATATCGATATCTTCAGCTTTATACTGTTTCGCGTCCCCACCAGGGCAAGACCATATGCCATTTGATAAGTTCAGTACTTCTTCAACAAATGTCTGTAATAATTGATAAGATTCGGTCCATATTGGTTTTCCTTTATTATTTATTGATATACCGTGCAGGACGCTACCTCCTTTGCCTTGATCAGAACTCATTTCACTAATTTTGAACAAATTATTTCACAATTTTGCAGAGCGATTTTAGGCACGTCTTGTCACACTGAGAAATTTACGATGTTTTTGAGGATGACATTTACGATGTTTTTCCCGAACTGGGCATTTCTCTTGCGATGATCTCATAAACGTGATTAAAAATACAAATTGTCCTCAACATGGCAAGTTAGTGAAAATTGTTTCAACCCTCGAAATTCGCCTCGGCACTCGGCAATTGCCGACGCAAATGCCGAGGCAAGTTACGATTTTTCAGTTTGCCTCAGCAAAAAAATGCTGAGTCAATTCTACCCGTTGTACCTTAAATTACAAACTACAGCGTCTATTCGTTTTTTTGCTTAAATTTACAAACTACAGTGTTCATATTTTGTTCAAATTGTTGTTATCGACGTCAACTGGGTGAACAACAGAAGATTTCATTCATAACTACTTTACAAAATATTTAAATTTGAGCTTTTCAGCGTCGGCTTCGGCTGAAATAAAGAATAATCTTGAATACTTGATGGTTTAAAGACGGCACGTTGAGAAACTTTGTTTTATCTTTTGGACTGTCGTGTGATTATCGTCAAGTTTATTCTTTCATAGAAACATTTTGAATCAGGAATTTGTAAAATAACAACAAATTGTAAAACGTCAGAATCTATATGCTCGTTATAATATTTGTTTACAATAATTTCCGTATGTAGGCTACTTTAATTACAAATGCCGAAGTAATTGCCGAAGGAATTTAAGGTCATTTCATCGTGTGCCTTGGCAAAAAAAATTGCCGAGGAAAACTCGAAAATTATTTTAAGACCTCGGCAATTATTTGCCGAGGCAAAAATAGTTGAATTTCGATGGTTGTTGTTTCCATGATTCTTCAAGACCCAGCCACATTAATGTTTAATCAAATGGACATTTTCTTGGCAAAAGTTCAAGCAGAAAACAAGCAGAACGGTGGAATGAGTTGACTGATGGCATAGGGTAGAACAAATTGTTGAACAAGATGGATTTCAATTTGTAACTTGTCTATTAAACTACCAACACAGTCAATTTGTAAAGATGAGTTGAAATTTGCATACAGAAGCAAATCATGGACTGGCTACGCCACTGTTCTTTTCAGCATACAAAACACAATGTAGACCCAATGAGGTTATATTTCAGTAATTGAATACCTTTGCATGCCTTTCCAACCGTGTGAGAATGCATTTTCCACCACAAATCGAATTCACTTTCCACCACAAATCGAATTCACACAAAAATAATTGGAATTTGCACAAAAATAAATTGAAAGGAAACATACAAAAATAAATCGAAAGGAAACACACAAAAATAAATCGAAAGGAATTGGAAGTCGCTGACTAAATATGCGGGTTTGGTGAAAAATGCGGATATGGATTGCAGATATTTTTTTACTTACATAACACACATATATATGATATTGACAGTCATCAGGCTTATTATTGTGCTTTATTTGAAATTATTTAGTTCTATATTTATACCTCTATTTTGCAAACTGTGAAATCTGGGCAAAAACAATATAAAGCTTTGCAGCTTGTGATTATTACATTGTTAAAGTTTTAGAACTTGTAATTCAAGCCTCATTAACATTATACCCTTGATTGACAGTTATTATATATCTAAAGACAAGTTTTCCTTTTATAAGATGAATTAATTTACGTGCTTGGTATAAAGCACAAATTTGTTTATACAACATAATTCTGGGCTTCGTGGGTAACAAAAATAATAGTTTATTCAATGGTAAAGAATAAAATTATTAGCTACAACAGCCTTTAAAGAACACATGACATGAAAATTTCTTCCCAATTTTGACGTATCACTTAAAAGTACCTAAAAATGATGAAGAATGGCCTTAATTTATTCACAGCTTGTCTTATATTCCCAAGTTATCAGGCATTTTGTAGTTAAAGTAGATAAAACACTCCTACTCGTGCTTTAAATAGTACATCTTGGTTCGCAAGTGACATATCAGATTCTGAACTGTTACCTTAGGATTATGACATCTGTCGGTGCAACTGTAAAAGTCCAACAATTTTTCATGTTTGTCAATGCCTTTCAGATAACAACCTTTTCCAACTAATCAACTCTTCCACCTGCTTAAATAAGTGTCTGGATCTCCGACCCGATCGAGAACTATTCAGATATGGATAACAATGTTGAACACAACTGGACCTCATGGCAAACACAACTTTTCTCCAAGCTGAATGCCTTAATACTGAAGAGGAAGCCTCGTAAGTTTATAACACCACCATGGATTGATGGAGAGGTAACCCATGTAATACGGCAAAAGAACTCGCTCTGGAACAGAGGAATAGAAAAGAACAACCTTGGCTACTTGGAAGAGATTCTGTGAAAAACCTAAGGAGGTAAAGTACTTGTGCTTTTCTCACCTGAATGGCTTCTGCAGTTACTTCAACCGATTGACAAGACGTTCCAACATTCCCGAAACTGTCAAACTTAACAGACGTTCTAACTTGGATGCAAGATCAAAGGCTGATGCTTTAAACATGTATTTCACCACTGCTGATAGATACATCAATACCCAATGCCTCCCCATACACGCACAATATTGTAATCAACCCTCGAATTTTCCCATGAAGAAGTATTGTCCTCTCCACAAAACACCTGGACCGGATAATCTTCATCCAAGAATTCTGAAAGAATGTGCAAACGAACTAACACCCTCCTTATGCTTAATATTCAACAAGTTGTTACATATGGGTAAGCTTCCAAGTGATTGGAAACAGACAAACATAACACCAGTGTTTAAAAAAGATCTAAAGTCTTGGTGCCCAACTATCATCAAATTTCCCTTCTATTGTGAGCCAATGGTGTTAACGTTGCGTCCTCAGGAACTTGCTACCCAAGCTCAGCCACCTTCTAACATCTGCACAACATTCCTTTGTTCAAGGAAGATCTTGTATTACGCAGGCGTTGTCAGTTGGGAACCTTGCTCAATGCTACTGATGAAGTAGACGTCATTTACCTGAACTTCAGTAAACCCTTTGACTTGGTGCCTCATGGGCGACTTCAATAGGGTTGCTATTGAAGGAACATTTTCCTTGTGGGTACCTGTAACGTCTGATGTTTCTCAAGGCAGTATATTGGGACCTTTTCTCTTCCTTCTGTAAGTAAATTGCTTGCCTGACGTCCTTAGCAATTCAACATCTAATGCTCTTTTTGCTGATGATGCTAAATGTTCCTGTGTGGTTCATCACTCAGATGATTGTGTTGCCCTTCAGCAAGATTTACGTTCAGTGTCCATATGGTCTCAAGATTGGGGACTTTCATTTAAACTCTATATGCAATGAAAATTTCGATTTTCTGATTTTTGCATTATTACACCATCAATGACCATCCACTCACTGTTGTTCCCTCATCAAATGCCCTTGGCATCTTAGTTAACAACAAGCTGACATGGGATCTCCACATTTATTGTGTTTTTGCTAAAGCAAACAAGACACTTGGCTTCCTATGACATCACTTTGACGGTACCATACACAGAAAGGTCATTGTACTCATCACTGGTGCGCTCCGATCTAAGTTATACCAGTGAAATCTGGGCTCCTTATTCATGCAAAACAGATTTAAAACTATTGGAGAGTGTGCAGAGGCAAGCTACGCAGTTCATCCTCAATTGCAGCAAAGATCATCATGTCCGACCCAACTACAAGTCCCACTTGATAGTCTCAACCTGCTTCCTATCTTGTAGTGGTTGGAGTGTTGTGACTTATGTTTTGTTTGCAAGTATATGAGTGATCCATACTTCATTATTTAGAGACTTGTTCAATGATGTTGTAAAGCTTTGGAATCATCTTCCATCAGTGCATTTAAATCTCGTTTGTATACACATTATTTTCTAAGTTACAGAACGTTTTTGATACGGACAGATCAAGTATGTGGAAGACAGTATGTCCTTTTTGTAGGTCTATTGGCAGCTCTTCCTGTTGTTAGTTAATAAGCACCAAAGGTGTATTACTGCAGGGAATGTTACACTGCACCAGTATATCCTTATCTTTAAAATTAGAGTCAGTATTATAGCACATGGTTAGGATTATTTTCTGAAATAATTCCTAATAAATTAATTTGTTTCTAAGTTGGTATGTCCAGTCAACCGGAGCAGGAGACTGGGTTGTCTGTGCAGTGGTATTAGAGAACTTTTATTGAAGTTTCATGTTTTTGTAGTGTAAATTCCTAGTTGTAATTATGTGTGGGGTTTGCCTTGTTGGGACTCTGAGTCTGTTTGCCAATCCCATATCTAACTCGCCTTTGATGTAATATCTTTTGCTTTCCAGGTGATCTTGATACGCGGAAAAGTACTGGCACTAGTTGTCAAATAGAAATCCATTTTGTGATTAAAACAACTGAATATCTCCTGTGATATACTTTATTTCGATTCCATATTTTTGTCAGAGCTATAGTTCTCATAACCAAACATAATTACAAAATTTCAACTAGTTTCATAAAGAATAACGAAAGATATAATTGACTGAAGACATCAAAATGGATTTCTATTCGGACAACCCTTTCTGAGCGCTGATTGGCTAAAATACGAACACAAGATCACCTGGTTGTTCTCACATAACATTGTAAATGTCCTGGCGAGTTTGATTTAAAGCTTCTTATTACTTGTTAATAGCAGGGCTTGCAAAATTTTGAAGAAAGTGGTTGCCCCTGGGGCAGGCAACACTCACAATTTGGTTGCCCGAGGCCATTTTTCACTTGCCCACATTAAATTAAATAAAAATAAAAGAATGAAGTTGAATGAACCACAACAAAACCGGTATTTATTTAACTGTTAACAAGTTGCAACTGCTATATACTGTGCTACAAATACTCTTACCTCCCACGCTTGGATTACTGCTGTCATTGACATTGTTGATTGATGTCACAGAGTAAGTATATCATATAATATACTTGCTCTGTGTTGATGTAGATTCAAAATATTTGAATAAACTCAGGACAATTTAAAGTTTTTCGTCCCG